TTATCTTCAGTCGTCGCCGTAGAAGGCCGTCCCTCACGTAAATCATCAGTGAGATTAGTGCGACCACGTTTAAACTCATTAAACCAGTTGTAAACAGTCGCACGAGATGGGGCTTCATCGTGAAAGGCCAATCGTAGTCTATCATAACTTTCTTGTTGACTTAAATGACATCGAAAGTCATAAAAAATCATTGCACGAAAATTTTCTCGTGTTAAATTCATGATGACGTGACACAGACAATTTTCAATTTGCCGCCAAATCGTAAAACAAATGACAAATGAATGAAATATATACTCAGTAATATTGGCAAAGAGTTATATTTTCAAATTTTAGAATTATTTTTTTATTATATTATTTATAAGTGGCCAGTTCTAAGAACTTTCAGTTTGACCCTCGTAAACATGTTACAGTCAAAACATTAAGTGCCTTAAATAAAGGCCTACATGAGACCAAAACGTCTACATCATATATGGCACGGATGCATGCCTTTTGAGCAATGAAGACTCTACTTGTGTGGCACGAGTTACCCCATAAAACTATGCCATATCTCAAAATTGAGCAAACCTGTCCATGGTAGGCCTGAAGGGCGATTTGTTTGCTTGTGGTTTTCCCCAATTTCCACAGCGCAAATACATGTGAATTTATTCTTTTGCATAATTTATCTATGTGTTTCTCCCATGTGCACTTATTATCAAGTGTTATCCCAAGAAACGTGACTTCCTCAGTCTCCTTAATATTCTGACCATCGTACAATATTTCCATGTCCTTTTTCTTTCCATTCGTATTAATAAATTGGATGGCTTTCGTTTTTTCAACATTGACAGCTAGGTTATTATGTTGTAGCCAATTTATAATAAGTTCCACCGTTTTGTTTAGTTCTTGGTTATATGTATCTAACTTAAGACATGGAACAACCACCGACACATCATCGGCAAATAAAACATATGAATAATTTGTAATGTCTGGGAGATCATTGATGTAGATTAAAAAAAGTAGTGGGCCCAGAATACTTCCCTGAGGCACACCGGAACCATTTATTTTAACATCTGACTGAAAGGTTCTTAACGTTCTATATTTATCAATATTGGAGACCTCAACATATTGTCTCCTGTTTTTAAGATAGGACTTAAGCCAATTTAACGCGATTCCCCTTATACCATACCTTTCGCTTTTTACGAGGAGCAAATCATGAGAAACAAAATCAAAGGCTTTGCTCATATCGAAAAATACAGCTGTTATTGGGATACGTTTATCAATATGTCCAACCACTTGATCTATGACTGAAAAGGCAGCTAGAGTAGTAGATTTGCCTTTTTGAAAACCGTTTTGTTCGCATTTCACAAGATTGTGCTTCTCTATAAAACATGTCAATCTGTTTAACATCGCTTTCTCTATGATCTTTGCCCAGATTGATATCAAAGATATAGGTCTGTAATTGTTAGGATCATTTTTTTCACCTTTCTTAAATAATGGTTTAACTATGGTAGTTTTTAAGATTTCTGGAAATATGCCAGATGCAAATGACAAATTTATCACATAACACAATACTTCAGCTATATCGTCCTTCGCGAGTTTGATGATTTCGGTTTTTATGCCATCATAACCAGTTGCGTTTGTCATATTTAATGAATTAATAATTTTTTTGATTTCATAGATGTCAATAGGATGCAAAAATATACTTGAATTGTTGAATCTAATATTATTAAAATTTGATTTATTAATGTCAAAATTGTTTGCGTCTGTCGATTTTATGAAGTAATTATTAAAGTAATTTGCTATGTCACAAGGATTCCTTATTTCTGTGGTCATGGTCTTTAATACCTGTATAAAATTAAATTATGTGTATTCGTTTGCCCCATTTTATCGTTAATTATATCCCATGAAGCTTTCGTCTTATTTGTAGAATTAATAATGTATTCAGTATTGGTTATTTTTTGGGAGTTTGAAATACATTTTTTAAGTAACTTGTTATAATTATTATATTTAGTTTTGTTTTCACACGTTGAATATTTATAGTATAGAAAACGTAGATGTCTTTTACGCACAGTAGATTTTTTTAAACCAACAGTAAACCACGATGGTTTTTTGTATTTTGCTGTACGTTTTATTTTTTTATTGGAAAGCAGAGATCATAAAAAAGCTTAAAATCTTTATGAAACTTTTCAAAGGCAATATTTAATTTTTTTTCACTTAAAACTTCAACCATGACAAAGCTCGAATATAAGACAGAAACTTATTCACGTGGTCTCTGCTATAATCTTTTTTGAATCCAAACCAGACTTCTGAAAGTTTAAAACTAGTACGGAACACCTTTGAAGCCAAAAGGATAATTTTTGATGAAGAAGATCAAGAAATTTAAAGAACTATTAAAAGAACTAAAAGAACTATTTTCAATAATAAAACTTAGTCTTCTGTTCTTGTTTTCCAAAAAATAATTTTTATTTCATCCTTTTTTGTATTATATTGTATACCTACCAAAACCTTCTCCGAAGTGTAACAAATACTTTTCTAAAAACCACATCAAAATCGGTTCAGCCAAACGCGAAATAATCGCGGACAAACATACATATATAGATACATACATACATACATGTTAAACTGAGAACCTCCTTTTTTGAAGTCGGTCAAAAATATGTACTTATGGTATGAAAAAATGAAGTATTAGAAAAAATCGAGCCGTCCTGCAACTAGCTCCGATGGAACTCCATCACCCATGATTCATACTTCATTTTCAATTATTTTCAATAATAAAAATAACATTGTGGATGCAAAAAAATTCAAATAATATGTATGGTATGTTTAATAAATTACGAATATCAGGAACTTAATCGTAAATATTTATTATAGTTCTCATTATACAATTTAAAAATCATAGTTTAAGTTTATGTAGTGAACTAATTAGTGATTTATAAAAAATAAATAAATACTTATTATCACTTTAAAACGATTACATACTTTTATTTTTCCTAATTTTGTCTGTTGACCGTACCGCATAACGGATCGGAAGAGTTCGGACGCATTTGAGGGATTCCGTGCAAGAAGCGCCCAAGTCACTGACATGCTATCGCGTTCGCACTACACTGCGAGTACTTCTTGCTATCTCTGTCCTTGATCGTGTAATACACATGATTAGAAGGACTGTAGTTGTACGCGTGGTTTATATGTAGTTGTGTCTTGACTCATTCTTTATGAGCTATTTGTATGCGCAAGGCATGTCCATACCTACTTAATAATGTCGATGGTTGATAGATCACTATGTCAGTCAGTCGCCTTTGAGTTATATATATTTAGATACCAATTCGACATAACTAATTCCTCATACAAATTAATACGACACTTGAAAACTTTTCTATGACTCCAAGGGAATTCAATGAGGAAGTATTTAAAAAAAAACGAAAGCACTAAAAAAGCACCTCCACTAGATGGCGACTCTGGCAAAAGTTGATTTTTGCAGGAAACGAATGGACCAAAGACAGTCATTTCCGTTCCTTTTAACTAACATATAAAAAAACTGAAATTTGCAAAGTTCGAAACTTATATATCAATACAAATACGAAAAAGAACAAATAGAATATGAGTTGTTTATTGAGTTTTGAAAAATAATTTCCCTTTATACTTGAAAGAAAACCGGAAGGGTCGTCATGGAGAAATCAAGAACGCACCGTAGCGACATCTAGTTTGATTTCGGGAACTAATGTTTTTTTTTTAATACTTCCTCATTATCGCTTACAATGATATCTACGAGAGTGGTTTGAAAAGTTCTCGGCCTGACCGATATTTGTGGGTAGTATGTAAACTAATTTATTGTCATTGGACAGTACGATACTTTATATAATCGTAATTCAAGTGCCATTGTATTGATACAAGGGGAAAATATGTAGAAAAATAAGACATGTTATTATTTTTATTTTCTTTGTTTTCTTGATCGGAGGGAGAACTTTTCAAACCAACCTCGTCTAATATATAAAGCTTTAACAAAATTATTAAGACTATTTAAAATTTCACAAATTTACTTTCGAGGACAAAGAATAGGCCCTCAGGTGTCAGGAAGCATCCGGAACTCTGTTCTCACCAAATAAACAACGACAGAAACAAAAGAAATTATAAATGATTTAAAAGTACTTTTCTCTAAAATGTATATATAAAAAAAAAAAACAGAGACGCCTGAGTGAATTCGGGTTCGGATTTTTATTTCGCGCATCATAGTTTAGTGAAGTATCTATATATATATAGCTCATAGGTGACTGACTGACATAGTGATCTATCAACGCACAGCCCAAACTAGTAGCCGGATCGGGCTGAAATTTGGCATGCAGGTAGATGTTATGACGTAGGCATCCGCTAAGGAAGGATTTTGATCAATTCTATCCCCAAGGGGATAAAATAGGGGATGAAACTTTCTTTCAGGTATTTTACACGATATAATTAATAAATATTCGTTAGAAATGCTGCTTAAAGTAACTTTACCACGCGGACGAAGTCGCGGGCAAAAGCTAGTTTACAATAATTTATAATACAAACAGCTAATTGCCTTAAATACTCACAGGTTTGTTATTCAATCGATGCTTTAGGTACTTATGTACTGTGATACCCTTCTCGCTGACGAACGAATAACCGCAGAGCACACACACGAAGTCAGACGGATGTTTGATGCGGACATGACCCATATATGATGATTTCTTACTGTAAATTATATTTTCTTTACATACTTCGTCCATATTCATAATATTATCCATACTAATAGTATATTAATATCGTGTTATGATTTATCAAAAATTAGATCGTTAACATATAAAATAAAAAGAAGTGAACCTAATTTAGATCCTTGTGGGACTCCAGAATGTACCTCCGTTGTACGTGGAGGTGTAACCGGTGTATGCTGATTTCTTACTGTAAATTATATTTTCTTTGCATACTCCATCCATATTCATATTATTGGGCACTGATTAAGGTCATGTATTTAAAAACGTGATTTTCCAACTCAACTAGTGTACTCTCTGTCAGATCTGCTTTCCGTTAGAAAGTTGTACATACTTAACGTGACCAGACGTCCCGTTTTGAACGGGACTGCCCCGTTTTCCAATTACGGGTCCCGGTGTCCCCGAAATGGACTGTGGGACGCAAAATTGTCCCGTTTTCAGAAACCGCGCGAAAATTTGAGTAGCAAACGGCCGGCCACCGCCCTGCCCGCCGCCGCCGTCGCGATGTGACGCCCTGACCAACCGAACGCAAGCTAACGGTGTGCGAGAGCGAGACCGCGTCGTGGTCAACGCTCGACACGTCATATGATATGACTCATATCGCTCGTGTTTTGTTGCCTTATTGACTATTGTTTGACAAACTTTTCATTTGTCTACTTCTCGCTATTTGTCTTGTGATTGATTGATGCTCATATAGAATATAAATTTTTACTTAAAAAACACACTCTCCTCGAATACGACCCCAACGTAATAAAGAAGAGAAGAAAGTGTAATGTCACCATAACCAAACGTACTAATACAAATTTCGCTAAAAAACAATTTATAAATCTTCCATCCTTCATTTACAATCGAATCAACAAAATTCTAAATATATATCCTCTAACCAACCAACCATGCAAACATAAATTGACTATTTGAAAGTCAAAAATACTTGAAAGATACAAATAATGAAGATATGGAAAATTATGTACACGTACACACACGCACACATACAAATACATGTTCCGTCTGTCTGTATATTTTGAATTGTTTATAACTTTACCATTGTTTTAAGACCTTTAGCTATGGAAGAGCGACTCTTTCTGGTACAGGTGTTATGCACTTAAAAGAAAAAGTCAAGCTTTGAATGTAAAAAAATGATTTTGATAAAGAAATAAATTTTTTATTTATTAATTTATTATCCATACTAGTCTAGTCTTGTGACGGGGTCGATGCTTAAGCAAATGAATAAAGACTAAGCTTGAGAACTTGATTTATTAAAGGATAATAAAATACTGTTTCCGGGTTTTCCGTAATAGGTAGAACTTAGTAGGTAGATATAACACGAAGATATACATTTACATGCTTCTTGTTTAAATAATAATAATTTATATTGGATTTATATAATTAAATTATTATGTTCTTGCCGGATGATTTTTTTACGAACCGATATTCACAAAAAGGATATTGAAGAATTAATACAAAATGCTTAAAAAATCCACTTGGTCCCTGGCACCCTGAGATGGGATTCGAACTTACGACTTATCGCAATCCGGGCAAACGAGTAAACAACCTATTTATTTCATAAACGGATTAACTAAAAATAATTGTTTTTATATATTTATGATATTGTTGGTGAATTTTGGAAAATTTGTATTTAAAATTCACAATTATAATATTTTTTTATTATTGTCTCTGCACGTGTAAAGGCCACCAACGTGACATTTCCATAATTGTGTAAACGCAAATAGACCATTAATAAAAAATGGAGTATACTCACTAAAACACCTCGCCGCAATAAGGGCATTCAAATTTCGTCCCATTATGCCATTCCGAATGTCCCTTGGCCGACTGCCGGTAAGTGGTAATATATGAACATTGTTTACAACTTAATCTTTGACTGTGATTCCTTATGTGATGGTTCCTGCACGCGTATTTTGATTTAAAATGTATTTTACATATACTACAAGGGTACTCGCCGCAAGCCTGTTCAAATAATAAAATAAAAAATTTTGGTCTAATTTTCATATGAGTCACCATGTTTTTTTTTTCCAACACTAATAAAGTTTATCACATCCCCAATGCATGCAATGCAATTATTAGCTCGGTGGCGTACTGGATAAGCGCCGCGACCCGCGATCGTTGTCGTTAAGCAACTTTCGCAAGGGTCGGTTACGAGATGGGTGACCAAAAAAAATATTATGTCGAGCTACTCCGAGCTTCGGAAGGCGCGTTACGCCGTTGGTCCCGGCTGCATTTGCAGTCGTTAATACCCTCCAATCCGCATTGGGCCAGCGTGGAGGGTCATGTCCCATCCTCCTTAACTCAGACCTTCCTTATGGTATGGATAATAAAGTTAACAGAACTTATTACTTACCATAGTATGTCTAACCATATGTGTATTATATGTTACCGCATTCGAGAAACCTTTGTAGCATTTCACACACTTGAATGGACTATTTTTATAATTCAAACTCTCTTTCCTATTTTCTATATCCGCCAATTGTTCTTTTAAAGTCAAATCGGTGACAGTGAAAATTTTCAAGATTTCATCTAAAAGCGTTTTCTTCTGACCATCCACTTTTGTTTCTGCACGGTTATTAGTTTTAACCTTCGCATTTCGCCTATACTCTTTACTTTTCTTAGTTTCTTCTAAAAGTAAACTATTATCAGAGAAACTATTATCATCTATAACATCGGATTCATTGTTTTTATTTAAAACTATATTGTTTATAGCTTCTTCATTCTCGTCATCCTTTTCGTATTGAATATATTTTACACCTTTCTTCTTGGTTTCTTCTAAAAGTGAACTATTATCCGTGGAATAATCATCATCTTTGACATCGGATTCATCATAGTTGCTTGTCAATATATCATTGTTTACTTCTACATCTTCATTATTCTCTTCAGCGTTTATCGTAGTATCTAAGTCAGGTGTGACCACTGGTTTCACTTCTTCTGGTATAATTTCAACTTCTTCATCATCGACTTCTTCGATGCAAAAGTCATAATGGTCGATAATAGTTGCTGTTGTTAGATTTGATATTAATTGGTTGTTTTCTCTACTTATTGACTGTATATTGAGTTCTGTTATCTGTTGGTAGGAAAAATAATTACGTCGTCAAATAGATTTTTTTGATAAATCATCCATAATTACGTTACAGGTGAAGAAGGAGTCTATGAAGCTCCTACATTCAAGATGCTTTTATACTAATATTATAAAGAAAATATTATATTTATTTTGTTTGTTTCACATGTTCGTTTGTAATAATTTAAAAACTATGGAATAGATTTTAAACTGAATCCAAAATTTTTATAATCAACGGGTATGCATTTTTCATATATGTTCACAGATTTCTCTGCCAATAGTAGAACGATTATCAACATGTTTTTTTTATCCATTTCCATGTGAATTTTATGGAAATCGTATAACTATGTAGATTTGGCTTTATAAGAAAATAACAGGAAGCGTTTTGCCAGAGAGCGTAAACATACTACGAGATAGACGTCATATTTATATCATTAGAAAAAAAAACAACAGATCGTGTTTATTTATTGCAATATCAGTGTAAAATTGCTTAACATGTTTCGTCACACTATGTAGTGGGGATAAATGTGACCAGCCCTGCGATTCTGTAAATATCCAGACCCGAATTCGAAGTCACTCATATTCACATTATTTATTATAGAAATTCTATTGACTCGTCTACCAATTACTATATATTTAAGGGTGAAGTTGCCGAAGTACTCACCTCCTTGTGTTTGTTAAGTAGCTCCATCATAAGAGAGTTGGCTTTCAAACTTTTGTGTCTGAATCGGCTAAAGTTTATAAGTCTCTGCGCACATTCCGCGCATAATTCATGCGGTAAGCAGTTTTCCGACAATAACTGCAAATAAGCATGTCATATGAACAACAAATTAAAATTTTATATTACTTATTCAGTCTAGACTGCTGTTGCGAGCACTTGTGAAAGTCGAGACTCTATGCTGTCAATTCGCAAATCTACTGTGGGAGATTTTGTACTGAGAAGAACCAGCAAGAAATCAAAAAAATCTTTTTAGATAGTGAAATAATTTTCCATTAAAATATCAATCAACATAAAACAAATAATTAATTTTATAAACAATTAAAAAGATAAATAATCAAAAATCACACAAGTTGGTAGAGTATTCATCTTTACTAGCAGTGCCCGTTCACAAGGGTGACGCATGATAATCACTTACCGAGACTCCTGTTAGTTGTTCATAGGCCTGTTCTAATTTGTATTCCCTGATGGAAAACAGCTTGGTGCCCATAACTAAACATATTCTGCATACCTATTAAAGGGATATAAAAAATGACAAATGTGTAAAATCATTTAAAGTGCTATAATAATAATATTTATTTGTGAAAATATGGTTACAGGCTAGTTTTACAATTTTAGACCAGCATTTTGTATCTACAAGACAATGTGCAAATATTAAATTTAAAATACAATACATTGTCTGATTTTATATGTAATTTTGATAAGGTTCTTAAAATTCAATTCCTAGCAAGTCCAAGGTCATCCATAAATTCTGTCACATGTCAAGCGGGAGGAGGTAGTCAATGAAGTGTGGCATTGTGTGACAAAAGACAGGAGGGATCTTAAACTTTGTGACAATATATTTCAAACTCTAAATTGATAATATGAAATTGTTTTTTTTTTTTATATTAAATGGAATTGAAAGGGATTTCAGAAGTTCTGTTTCATTTCTGTTGACATAGTCTATCAAATTAACACCAACCCTATATTACAGTATAAAATATCAGCATCAGAGATGAACCATTTTCACACTCACTTGAATTCTGAAAGAAACAGAATATTACATCAAGCTCCTCTTTATAACAACACTGAATACCTGTACAGTAAAAGGCACAGAATCGACTCTAAGTGTCAGTAGACCACTCTTGTCTTGAAAGAGATCTTCACAAAGGAAATGTTCTGAACATACGGCAGGTCTTTCGTTCGGTTTCCAAGGTTCCTCTATCCCAAGAACTTGGAACCATGCATTTCTCAGAGATGGTTCACTGGGCAACCTGAAATGTGTAAGTGAATAACAATTTTTTTCTCTCTTCATAATTGTCTCTCTTATGAATTAACCAACATTATTTGTTTAGGAAAGTGGCATTATTTTTCTCGAGATATTACAATTTCACATTACTGTCTATGAATAAGCACTGGTCGATTACAAAATCAGAATAAACAAATGACAATAGGGACTTTAAGTCAGTGGGATGAGGGACAAATGATGGAAGGGAAGATATGATTTTATTAGTTCTTTTCCTCTTCAAAAAAAAATTGAAACACCAAGAAATAAATGAGCTGCGATACAGCAACTTTCACTAAATTTATTTGATGAGTCAGGCAAATTTATTTGGACACATAATTGTTATTATTCAGAACATACTTAAAAATGATTTTGTTAAGATTATTATTGAGGTTATTTCAATTTGAAAAATTAACTCACATATAAAAAGTGATACCCAGCGACTTAAGACTGTATCTTGAGTCACTTTTACAACCTGGGACGCAGCACCTCATTTTGAAAATTATTTGAAGGTTTATAATTTCTCCCGTATTTATCTGACTGTTTATTTATTTACACAACAGAACACATTTTTTTTTGGTTACAACACAGCACAGAACACAGAAAAGAGTCTTCTGAAAGAGTATTTCTGTATTCTGTGATCCACAGACCAAGCAGGAGATACTTATTAACTCTTAAAATATTAACCCTTGTAAGTCTATTTTTCTTACTTGAGGAAGTATTCAAGAAAAAAAAAAGAAAAAAGCTCTAAAACGCGATCACTAGATGGCGACCCTAGCAAAAGTTGATTTTTGCAGGAAAACAATGAGCCAAAGATAGTCATTTCCGTTCCTTTTAACTAACATATTAAAAAACTGACCACCTACCGTGTGGATGGCACTTAAGAAAACTTTAGGAGTGTTATACATGGAGCTAATACAAAGAGGAGATGGCCTAATGAGATTTGCCTATATAACATTGCGTGACATTTTGCGGGATGAGGGGAGCCTATGCCCCGCCCACTTTTTTAATCTCCATCTACCGGTAAAGAGCAAAATTACTCGCTTTATTTCATATCGATGTTACTAATTAGTTCAGCTACTTCATACTAGATGTCGCAAAAGTAGAATACTCAGGGACGTACTCAGAATTTCCGTACCAAGGTGTGAATTTAATTAAAATATTTTTTTTAACACTATTTTGATTGACCTTTTTTACCCGACTCAACCGGCGTGTCATAAACGAGAGTAACGTTTTATCGCTCTATCGTCGCTATAGTGGTGAAAAGAGCTAAGACACACAAATGACATTTAAAGCAATGAATAAAAATATTAAGACAGGGTTAAAAAAATAAATAATATTTTAAAACAAATCTTTATTGGTTTAATCAAAATATCCATAATGATCTGTACTATTGTAAATCAAATAATTACGATGACGACTTCTTTGGTTCGTTAGTACATCATACCTTCAATGAATGAACATAAGTCTATTTAGGTAATTCAATTACCTGCAAAAATAACTGTTTTGGTCAGTTGTTGTCGGTTTGTTGTCCTATCATTTTCTATGGTTGCAAAATGCTTAAAACGAATATCAATATATTTTTCAGCTATAGATTTCATCAGCAATATAATATGATTATCAGTAGGCGACTGGTCAAACATATGTATATTCAATTGTTTGAAATAATCTTGTCCAATGAGGGACTTTAAAGTATTCAATACAATTTTATGTTTACGTAAATTAGAATTATTCCAAGATTGTGATTTGAAATAACGTATGTTGCATTCGGTTCGTAAACATATATTTATAACATCTTTAGATGGAAAAGTAAGACCACCTTTATTTTTAGTTTTTATCAAATAAAGATCGTCATCTTCGTAGTTATCAGCATATAATTGTTGAAGGCAGCTCTCACATTTGATCTTGGAATGTAAATAATTGACTACATATCTAGAAATATATGCAATTATTTGACGGCGCAAATAATTACCTATTGTTGCATTTAACTGCTCATCAAATTCTAATAACAAATTATGGGTCGTGGGCTCCACATACAGTCTGTCTATAAAGTCATGAAAAGAATGTTTGAGGAACTAACATTAGACACAAGTATGACAACACTGAATCTAAGTACATCGACTGTCAACAACTTGATTTTTTAGCTCGATTTTCTGAATTTTTGATTTGTTTTGATTAACCTGAAACTACTTCTTCTAAACTCCGTAGAAAAGTGTTAAAAATGAAGAGAATTAATCGGAGTGAAGTTCAGGATATTATTTATAAAGTTTTTCAGTGATGTTTATTGTAACAAGAAGCTGGACACATTTTATCATATTTGTAGGATGTTAAAGCTCGAACGGCAGTTTTGACTGGTATGTAATCGTGTTACTGATTGAGTTTTGGTTACCAGAAGTTTCAAATTTACTAAATATATGAATTTAAGTCTAAAAGAAGTATTGTTTACATTATGCATTTATAGGTTAGATTGAAAAAGTTAGAAGGCTATATTGTAGTGCGGCCCGAACTTTTAATACTTTTGGATAATCAAATTTACCATTGATTTTAATCTGAATAAAAAATATACCTGTTAGGAATGTACGATTTTTACCTACGTACGCCAATAAAAAGTTTGTGCTTTATATTACTAAAATTATAGCATTAATATCATAATATTTAACAAAAATTACGATCACTATATTGTAATCTTCAATGTAGAATGAACTCATTGTCTACGAATTATACGCCTTTCTTTACCTTTTCTGGGGTAATAAAAGTAAAAAAAAAATATCCGGTTTATTTTACTATAAATAAAGAAAATCCTACTATCAAAATCATTTGTCTCACTACACAGGGTTGCTGCGTGCACGATCGCAGCGCCCTCAATGTTTTTCATGACTTTATAGACAGACTGTACATTCCGAATGCTTCATCGCTCATGTCGTTTTTCAAAATTCGATAACGTTCTGAAGTAATGTTATTTTTTTTTACAGAGGATTCGTTCAAAATGGAAATAGAAGTTTGGCAAGCGAAACGTGACACCACCTATTTTTCCGTTTTCATATGGCAACAACATAGAACTGTCAGTTTGACACTACGTTAGACAATTCAAGAATATTGAATTTTGTTGTTTTTGCGAATTTGAACTTGTGTTTTTGGTTAAAAATTATGTCGAAGCCGATAAAAAGTTCATCGAGGAAACTTCTTTCCATCATGATTGACAAGTTTACTGAAGTGAAAACTGAATTAAATAAAAATTTCATGGAGAAATTACAACGATTAGATAAAGTTGTATCTTTTTTAGGTTAGTTTTGTATTATAATTTTGATACTTTCGTTTTAATTTTCTGTAATTAACTAAACAGATATTTTTTATAAAATATTGCTCTATTTCAGATAACTGTGATGGTGATATTCAACCAATAATGGAGGAGATAAATGCAATAAAAACTTTAGAAAAACAAGAAATGCTGAATTCGGAAACGCAGTACTTACAAAAAATTTCTTCAATGACAGGTCTCTTTTCTTGTTTTGATTTAAGATAGATTGATAGTATTCCTATAATATTTACATAGGTTTTTTATGATGTATTGGTTTTTATTGTTGACATCCAATGATGTCATAAGAATGTTTTGTTTAACAAGGAAATTCACAGAATTCATGAAACTAATCAAACCATGTAATTGTTATACATGCTAAATATGCACATAAACTTAACTAAATTAAACATAAATTGCATTCATAGTTGAATAGGTATTTAAATTATTTTGATGTATGTGTCTATCATTATTTGCTTTTAAATACATTTAACATATCTTTGTTTCAAAGTGTTTAATCTTTTATAGATGTAAGTATAAGGACACTAAGAAGGATAAAAAATGAAGCATTAATTAATAAAGGAAAATGGGACACTCCTGGGAAAAAACGACCTCATCAACCAACAGTGTCTGCTTTAGATAATTTTGATTTAAGTGCAATTCGGAATAAAGTAAATGAATTTTACTGTGTGAAAAAAATTGTTCCAACATTAAGAAGCCTTCACAATGAATTAAAAGATGCAATAGGATTCAGTGGTAGCCGTGAGACTTTACGAAAAATTATGCTTAAGAATGGATTTTCTTTTAAAAGCAATGAAAATGAACGTTCTATGCTTATAGAAAAATACCAGATTTCTGCATGGAGGCACAAGTATTTGAGAGAAATAAATATAAAACGAAACGAAGGAAAGCAAATTGTGTACCTTGATGAAACTTATGTACATCAGAATTATAAAGTTAAAAAGTCTTGGCAAGAACCTTCAACAACTGGTGTCACTACAAAGATATCCTCTGGAAAACGGCATATTGTTGTGCATGCTGGATCTGAGGAAGGTTTTGTGCCTGGTGCATTATTAGTGTTCAGTAGTAAATCCAAATCTGCTGATTATCATGATGATATGAACTCATCGAACTTTACGAAATGGGTCAGAGAAAAATTAATACCAAATTTAAGTAAGCCCAGTGTAATTGTTATGGATAATGCCAGCTACCATATAAAACAAATCAATAAACCGCCTATAATGTCTAATACCAAAGCAGATATCCGTAAATGGCTTGTAAATAATGGAATACATTTTGAGGAATATCAGACAAAGGCAGAGTTAATGTGTTTGGTTAATGATAAGAAAACATTGCCTGTATATGAAGCTGAAGAGATTTTAAAAGAACATAATCATGAACTTTTATTGCTGCCACCGTATCATTGTGACTTAAACCCAATAGAGATGGTTTGGAGTCAAGCAAAAAGAAAAATTGCAAGCAGAAACATTGGAATACCAGGAAAGGAAATGGAAAACTTAATAATAGAGTGTTTTAACTTAATTACCCCTAGTGACTGGAAGAAATACACTGATCATGTTTTAAATGTCGAAAATGATTACAAATTAAAAGATGGCATTGTTGAAAACGAACTTGAAAAATTTATTATATCTGTTGGTGCAGACAGTAGTGAAGAGAGTGACTCTGATGATTCCTTGTCATTGTTATCAGGTGTAGAATATTTAGAAACAGATTTTGACTATGAATCAGACTAAAGTATTTTTAGTCTGATTCATAGTCAAAATCTTATCTTAAATTTTCTATTGTGATTAACATGATGATTTTGTGACACCTGTATTATGTAATTTATCCATGGCACTTAATTGTAACAAAAATAAATGTTTTTTTTATTGTAATCTGGTGTTTATATTGACTAATTTAATTTGATAGATAGTGGTTCTGGATCAGAGCAAAAGGTTGTGATGAAAATCCCTTAGGAGACATGTATGTGTTATGAACACATTATAAATATAAGGGCCAGAAATCAAAATTGGCTAACATCACATTTATTAAAAAAATGTGGCCAGAGTCGCCCATATTCATTACAAAAAAACAAAGAAGTCGTTGCAAAAAACACCCTTTTAATTAATGACAAATATGAATTTTTAATATTATAAGTGCTGTTAGCCAATAGGTATAACGAATGGGTTAAAAAAAAGA